TGTGAGTTCATTTGTGGTTTGCTGATGTTTGGATTAGCTTTTGCAATGATTTGGAGTGGTAAACTCACAATGTTAATGTGACAACTCTAGATTAACTTAATGCAAGAGACTTCCGAGCCACATTTCAGTTGAAGAGTTTTATAACACAAGTTATAATTCTGTGTTTGAAAAAATATAATGAGGAAGAAATTGTCACTGTACGTTTGTTGTTCATTTTCTTGCAATAGTATACACATTTGGTAATTCATTGTGGTTCAGTCCTCAAGTAAAGTATTGTTTTTGTGTTTCTTGAGTTCCTATGTACTTTGATGTAATGCCTACTTATCCTTCTTGCTGGTTAACAAGGAGTTCCACTTAAAAATGTGGCTCAGGGCTTAACTTGGTGAAACTTACACCACTAAAATTGCTGTAACAATTGCCTTATCATACTGTCTGGAACTACTAGAGTCTAGAGTTGATCTGTAAGTATTGTACTAACTCCTGAGTCCTAAGGAATTTTAGAGCGAAAGATAGCTTGACATGACCCTATTTAAATCGTATTTTGTTGATATGTTCTCTGTGGAAAACTAAATGGGTGTGTAAGTGTAAAAAAAGGCATCTTTCTTTATTTCCTCGACCTTTAGGTCTTTAATTCCAATTTCAGACATAATAAAAATAAGTCGTCGGTCTAAGAAATACATACAATGACTAATTTTTCTTTGTTATTGGTGAAGTTACAGAAATCAATGAAAAATATGCAGCTGATAGAACCTTGAAAAGGCAGGGAAGTGTACAAGGAATTGTTACACATGCAGATGGTAAGAGTAAAAACTATAGTTCTAAAAGTACCACAGAAGCTTTCTATTAATGTTGCGTATTTTGTTTTTATGTTATGTTTATGTAAAGTTGGAATTTCCTGCCAGAATAATCCTACCATTTATTAGTGATTAAAATTATCCATGCTTGAGAGTATGTAGATAGGTTGTATGATCAGTGACTTGGGTACCTCTTGTTGGTGAATAACTGAAAATGCATTAAATACAACTGAGTATATATGCATATCGTGCTGGGGAGATGTGTTAGCTTGGGGGAAATAATGATATTAGCTTTGGGTCGTTGACATTTATAAAGGAAACTCGTGCATATGTTTAGTGTTTTTTTTTTTCCTCGAACTGCTGCTGCTAGGACTGTAATATTATTTTTCTAATCCTCTTACCTCTCCCGTTCTCAGAGTCTTGTAATGTGGATGGATCTGAAATCATAAAAGTTTCTCCCCGAACGTTTGTCGCTAACGAGATATGCGAGGGAAAATTGGTAATATCTTTGCTCCCCATGGTATAAATTTCTTTCTTAAATAGTTGAAGTTCATTTAGTTCACATGAGTTGAATCAATAATTCATTCTGTAGGTAAATGTAGCTGAAGGAATGAAGCTGTATGATGATCTTTTTGAAGATTCAGAAATTTCTAAACTTAGTACTTTAGTGAAATGGTTGAGAGCTTCAGGTAAAAGAGGACATTTAAAAGGTAAGTTTAACGGTATCTGTTGTAACACGACCTTATTAGTGAACTGGTTTCAGCTTTTGGTTTTGTTTTTCTCTTGTTCGAATTTCTCATTACTGGCACTTCATTTCGATTTTTGGCTCCTTAAGTTGATGGTTTGAGATTGATGAAAGTAGCTCAGTAGCAATTTGTGAGTTCAAGCATTTGCTTTTCCTAATTAAGATAACACTACAATTGTGTTCTAAACTGTAGTTGTCTGTTGTTACATATGTAATATTTCTTGTTACATTACATGTTACAATTTGGTTTTATATGAACTGTTTGTCCCGTGTGTAATATTTCTTGTTACATGCTGCTTCATTCTTTGTTCTCTCCTTCACTAGTACACTGTAGATTTCATGACCAAACAGATTGACAGAGTGATGGGTTTTACCTTCGTATGGCTCCACATTTCATTTAAACTTAACAGTCAATTAAAGTTAAAGGTCTTGGGAGGTTTTCTGAGAAAGGTTAATATAATATGTCAAAAAGCTAAACACGCATATTAAATAATCTTTTTTTACATTGGTTTGATTTTTAACATGAGAAATTAGGAGATCAGATAAAGATCTAATAAATTTCATCTTAATGAGATTTCAAATATCTGAAACCTGAGTGCAAAAAAAGAAAAATGTTTTCTGTAAGATTTTCTTAGAACGCAGTAAAATGGGTTTGTCCTCAATTTAACAAGCTCAGGGTTCAGACTTGATGGCGCGAAGAATTAGACTGACAAAAGTCATTGTTGCTGAAGTTTTTGTTTAGTAGAACTTGAACTTCGAATTATCTTAGAAATTATTGTTTTCATGATCATCCATGATGCCGACTATTGATTTGATAATCACTTCTTTCATCTAATAAAATCACAACTTCTTCCGTTCATAATACAATAGCAACATCACGGGGTTGGTCTAGGCAATGATTTCTTCAGAACATACTTCTCTCGAGAAGAAATCATGAGTTCTATGTAATTTCCAAGGGAAAGAGTAATTCTCCACCAAGGCCCAAGCTAAGTGGATTCTGTTGTCATTATAGTTGGTCTTCTCCTTATCTGATCTGGATGATGACAACACGGTTATATGATTATGTGCTTTTTTCTTCGAGTACATTAAAAATATTTGGTGTCTGTTAAAATTATAATAGTAGTGTTTTCTCTGTGGAACTTTGTTAATTGGTTGATTTGTTGTGATATTTGGCAAGCTCAATTATGTAAATTTACCTCTATTTCTCTTTTAATTTGAAACAGGTCAAGCTTTTACTACCTTAAGGAGGCCCATGAGAGGACGCGGAAGAGAGATAATTCAATTCGGTGTCCCAATTGCGGATGCAAACCCTGACAATGAAGAAGCTTCAGTGACTTCTAGAGGCACATATCAAGCAAATTAGTTGGCATTTATGTTTCTCAGTATATATGCTTTTCTATTGCACTTGGTAATTATGGTCCTGTCAATTCATTTTGCAGATATAAAAACAGAGCCCATTCCTGAATTGCTTCAAGACATTATTCAACGGTTACTTGCTGAACAAGTTGTTAGCGTCAAGCCAGATTCAGTCATAATCGATGTCTTCAATGAGGTTTCACTCATTAGTGTTATGTTCTAGACATGTTTTTTTTTTTTTTTT